GTTCCCATTGTATAGGCTACATTGTTTACACTAATATTAATTGCTGTACAATATTTAAACTCAAACGTTTGCATATACGGTAAAATTTTTTAATTTGCTTACAAACCCCCCCCCCCACCTCTGATGATTATTCAAAAAGGCAGTAATTTTCTATTATTCAATTTTGCTTCTGTAACATGTACAGTGTATTTGTAGTGTATTAAAGGTAAACAATGAATCACTTCTATGTTTCCTGGAAATGGACCCTACAAACTTGCCATTCTTAGAGCTGCCAGTTGAACTATAGAAACAAAACAAACAAACAAACAAACAAAAAACATAATGATTCACACATTTTGTTGTCATTTTCCAATATTTATTGATATGTCAAACTTTTCCCAGATAAACATAGTGTCCAGAACAGCAGTCTCTCTCCAGTTTGTGCCACTATGAAAATAATGAAAACAAAAAAAAGCAGTTGATTATAAAAATGTATTTGCATAGAGGTAACTAAGAAAAATGCAACAGAAAACCCCTTTAAAAACATAGTCTAATATTCAAAAATAAAAAGAGAATTTGTTTACAGAAATCGTGACAAAAAGATGCCAAACAATATTCAAGGCTCCAGTTGAAAATATATTATTTTCTTCCCTTTAACAAACAAATGAAAAACATGATTAAGAACAATGCTTCAATATTTTACAATTATTACCTTTAAAAATATATCTCCTGTAATCACCGTTTGCTTCTATTATGACTAAATGCAAGACAAATTAATGGTTAATAAAAATTATAATTTTATAATGACAAAAGTCAACCATTTTGAGCAAGAATATATATATATGATAATGATGTCATTAGGTCAGATTGAGATAGACCTATCGGACTGCCACATCTAGAGTTTCATGCCTGAACTCTGGGAGTTTCCAGAATGATTTGGTGTTGTTTTACCTGGTGGACCATCATAGTCATGCTGTTCACCAGCAAAAAAACAAACAAACTACAACCTATGGGGATCAACTGCACACTATAAATGCTTCAAGTTTTCAGAATCATCCCTCTGTCAATTTAAAGGTGCTCAGAGATAAAGTTGGTGTAAGCTGAGTAGAGGAAGTGTTTATCAGGATTTAAAGCTGGGACATTGATCCTGTGAACTAGGATGTCGAGGTGAGGATAATCCCAGGAGTTAATCACAGCTGATGGCAGATTCCTTTTAAACACTGTATTGTATATTATTAAGATGCATGGACAAGGCTTTTGCATTGCAAATTCACATAGACTGTCCATTGTGAATTGTGTGCAATGTATATGACTGAACAGTCATTACAAAAGCCTTAGGTACACAAGGCATGGTCTCTTGTGACCCATGAGTCTGATTGACTGGATCTCAAAGACCCATATTCCTTTTCATAAAATATTCTTTGTAATATTTTGCAATATTAGTTAAGTGTAAGGTGGTATTGTTAAATCATCATCAGATATTTCAGTAAAACAGGAAACAGAATAACAAAAATTTATAAATGTATTATGTATAGTTCGGCATACAAAAAGAATGCTAATAGACACCTTGATTTTGTTTGGAACATACAAAATAGATGTTCATGGTTTCATCCTTTTGATATTCAAAGCTCGTACCTGCCAGGGAATTCTTTTGAGCAATATCTGATTTATGCTCATGCTCCTTTCATCTTCATCATCAGATCAATCATGACAGCATGAGCCTGTGAGCAAGATCACAGCTTTTCTATTTCCTCAGATATTATGGTTTCTTTGGATGGACCGTGTAATCCTGGAGGCATCATGTGGTGTCTGGTTATAATTATCCCTTCAATGACTGCGATTTAAGAAAAAATAAACTCTAATAAGTATGTTTTAAATAGTATTATTGTGATCTTCTACGTACGCTACTGCCAACAGATATACAGACATGCTGCTGTGAGCATGTAAGATGCTGCTGTAGCATGATTAGGCATGCATAAATCCCTTAGCAGATCTAGACAGGTGGAGCAGGGGGAGGTAGAGGGTTTCAGAGGAACTCTGATAGCACACTGCAGGACCTGCTTACAGCAAACACTGAGCCAGACTATTTAAATATTGAGCAAGCAATCTCATTGGCTGCCGAATCATCAAAGACCAATCAGCTTGTGCCATGTAGCAAATTATGTGATTGCTAGCAGGTTGTTTGTAAAGAACCTGCCAGCCTGTGCCATGTAGAGTTCAATGACTGAACTAGATATTCTTGGCAGAAATAGTAAGATGCTAGTACGTGTCTGTAAAATCAGCATATTCTTTGACTTTGTTTGGAGCTGTTTTCACTGACAAAGCAAAAATAGACAAATTAATTGCCAATATTGTAAAAATGTAAGTCGCTAAATATTAACTTCATGTTTACTAAACTGTTGTATAAAATAAATATTACACTCACGATATCTAAATATAAATTTTGCGACTTCATGCCTACAGTTGATTCACTGATACTTTCAAACTGTTCTCTCAATTATGTGATATCTTAAATTGGATTATAATTAGTTTAGAGAACAGACCACTCTATGAACCTTGTTTTTACATACTCTAGTAGTTCCTCTCTACAGTTTCTTTACACTGCCTGTTGCTCACCTACATGCCATGACCACTTCAAAGGTTCCTGTTCCCCTGCAGAGGCCCAGAACAGGAAGTGCAGCTGGCAGCTGTTCACAGGAGCACTGGAAGGTTTGCTTCTGCTCTCTTGTGTTCCCCTGTGGCCTTCTAGTTTATGCGGGCCAGAAGGGAGTACTAGTTTACAGTAGTCCTCCACCTGATGACATGTCCAAACTCCCTCCGAGAACCTGACTGTGAGATCTCCTTGTCTCCAACAACGTAGCTATGTGGCTTTGTATAATAGTATAATACAAAAAGAAACCACAAATTGGTTCCTGTTAGTAACATGTGAGTCACTCAATTATTCCATTACTCATTTTCAAATGAAAGCAAAAGCAGAAGGATCTCCTGTAAATCACTGACCGTTAACAGACAAGAACAGCCAGAAACAAGAGCTCTTTCTCTTTCCTCCGGGTTGAGAGAGACAGGGCTGCTGCTGATGTTTTTATCTAAACAGCTGTGCAGACAGTAAATCCACTGCATGTCTCTAACTATACATTGACATATAATTCAGGGGAGATATTCCAGATCGCTGGTGACTTACAGTATTTATTCAATAAAATTTGACGATTTTTAAGTCAACTTGTGCCTCAAAAGTTTGCAATTAATCTTTCTCATTGAAAATGTGCTGTTTTTTCTCTTCCTTTCAGCTTCTAACTTGCCATGTTGACTCTCCAATACGTGCAGGAAATCCAAAGGTCTCCTCCCTTTTGTGTAGCTAAGAGCAAATGGCTTTTCATTGAACTTTTTAAATGCAAAGATCAAGTGTAACTGTGAGAAGGAAAACTCCACAGTCATTTTAGACCTTTTGGATCCAGATTTGATACTGTATTTGATTCATATTGCATCAGCCTTTTATGATAATTTATTGGTTATAAATAAATTAGTAATAAATAAAATAAACAATAACACACATAATTAATAAATAAAAACAAAAATGTATTAATAAAATAAAAAATATTGTTACAATTT